ACACCAGAAACAAGGAAAACTCTGAGACGACTCTTATATTCAAGAAAGGTGATGCTGGAAACCTCCAAAGGTATCGATCCAAAACCTATCAATCACTTTCCTGTCACGCTCTACAAGGTCTTTGCCTGAATCATCCTCAGGCCTATCCGGAGAGTCCAGGAACTTATCCTCGTTAGTAAAGTACAAGCCGGTTTCTGTTTCTGAACGGAGTTCTCCACCATAGGCCACATCCAGGTCGTGAGGCAGCTAACAGACAAGTGTAAGGAATACCGATTCCCCTCTCTGCTTCGGACTTATCGACTTCGAGAAAACGTTCGACTCCATCGAGCCGAATGCTATACTAACTGCTTTGCAGCACTGCGATCCCCTGTCTAAATCGACTTGATCCAAGAGCAAGTCTGACACCGCAACCGACATCAAGTTGTTCAAAGAACCATGTCGAATCAGCAACAAAATAGGAGTACGATCTGGAAACTCTGCTAAGCTTCTCGCGACGGTGCTGGAATCCTTTCTAAGGGTCTGAACTTGGGGGGGGGGCATCAACGTCGACGGAGAACGGTTGACCCATTTGCTCTTTGCTGATGACATCATCTCCTAGACGGCCTTAAGCTTAAACGGTAATGAGTTATCCAGTCATTACCAGTCTGGACTGAAAACGAATTAGTTTGGGTCCATATCGTTTTGCATCTACTTGTCAGCACCATGTGCTCGTACCTGGTTGAAAAAGTGTTGCTTTCAATCACAGATGCCGTCTCACAGGTAGGAAAATTTTAAATCCTGCAAGAGTGCTCCATTTCACTCATACCGTACTGTTGCTTTTGAGGAGTTGGTTTTTTGTTGCAGAGGTCAGATCTTCCATGCAGACTCAGTTTTGCACCTCTTGAAGCCTCAATTGAAAGAGGCGTTGGATCGCGGATTATTGTTACGTGACCGTTTTCAATTCTGCTTCGTAGTTCAGCTCCTAAATTCTCTTTTGAAGTTTTCTTTAAACTATAGAAATCGTACCAGGATAAGAATATCACCGGTAAACGCATTTGACACAGATTTGTGGACATTTAGTGTTCGTTTATCTTAATACCCTGCCAATGGAGTGTCATGAAAGCCTATTCGAAGGTTGCTGTGAATATCTGCAGTGACGTTGCATCGCCCAGTGGGCGCTTTTCTCGATTTTGAACTCTATGCTTATTTCGTTGAAGTTTGTCTAGTCCCTGCACTGGTGTAAATTATGACGATGAGGTCTCTGTATGTTTTGGCGCTCTGCTGACTCCATATAGCACCGAATATAGCACTTCATATGGGTCACATGAAGACATAGCAAAACTTCTCTCCAAGTAAACGAATTTTGGGCTACAGAAAATGCATGTCAATCGTTTACCCCACCATTTCATCCAGGAAAAGTTTTAGCAAACGAATCAAGTTCATTGACTTGTGTAACGGCAATTTCTCTCGGCAGAAGATGGCCTCATAAATTACAAAGACGAACCGTGCAGAAGGCTGAAGATAATAAAATGCAACGCACGCACGTACTTCGTACATTTGCATGCGTAATGCCTCATAGATACATATTGCTATTGTTGTTTGTCATCGTCATCTGAGACGCGATGAGTCTAAGAGTCCCGTTTGCCCTAGATTATAATTATATCTAGCCTCATCAACAGGCTACTTCTTGGTCAGCTTTCCTTCGTCTTCTTGTGTCTGAGAAGCCTGGTGAGAAGCCGCAAGGTCGATGTTTTCTAACAGTACAGCTCTCTGGGGGTGGGAAGACAGGTGATTGACTTAAACGTCTGAGGAACAGGTTTGCTTTTCCCTCTTTACGTCGAACAGCATGCGATGAACGAAGACGAAAATTTGTCCGGACTTTGACCAGAACTTGCTGCCAAACGGTGTTCATGCTCTCTCAAATGACCTGCCTAGGCTGGCACTGTAATTCGTACATTTTCTCACAACAGCTGACCACATACCCGAGCCACGTTGCCATTGGCAGCCATGGGCTTTTTCCTTTTTCTTACCAATTCCTGGGCATAGAGGTTTTCCGAGCACTTGTTTCTGGTCGAGACACTTTTTACAGCAACAAAAAATCTGGTTCAAAGTCGACATCGCTAAAAGTGTAGTACTTGTGATTTGGCTTCTTCGATTTGAGTGGTACGAAACAGTATTACGTGTTTCTGTCTTTTGCTGTTATGCATCATACGACCGAGAATGACACCGCATGACAACTGCTGCAGTCAAATCATTCGGCCCCTTCCTCGAAAGTAGATCACGTAAGCTACTGTAATGACCCATCCCTTCCGTTCACATGAGGTATTCTTTTTCGAGACTGATTTGAATAAAACACGAAATGTGAGGTCTGTCCGTATCCGGTCGGTCGCCTCCTCGTCATCCCGCCGTATAAGTGGCTTATGCGAGACCCTAGTTTACGTTTGCTGTGGCTGACAATTAGGTCAGTCGAACGATTAATCAGTACTAACATTTTCACCCGTGTCTTATTCCAGGTAGATAGGCTGGCTGACTGTTTCTCATCGGTATGTTCAGGTCAGTAAGTGTGGCTACTGATCAGTCAACCGCTTGAAAAAATTATTTTGCGTTGTGTATAAATAAATATTTTTCAATATGACCTTCAGCGCATGAACTAAATTCGCACTCAATATTTGGGCAGTTGCCACATGTCATTTCTCCCGTTACAGTTTTGCCGATGCCTTCGTGAGTTTGATTATGAAAGTTCGCTAGCTCTTATTGCAAGGACGTACCTGTTATTTTGTTTCCACCTGTAACTTCAACACCGTTATGATATAATAATAGAACGCTGGGTTTGATCGTCTCCGTTCTGACCATCTGACCAGCAGAAAACTCCCATAGATGCTAACTAACAGACTGCATACAACCTGTATCGATTACGGTCCTCGCAACGTACGTCGCCAACGATGGGACCACTGCCGCAGTTTCGGTGGCTGCATATTTTTTCGCTGGACGATTTATGCGTTATTTAACATCCTCCGGCTCCGAACATATTATTTTGATGTTTGTACAGTATCAAAATGCTCCTCAAACACGGTTCATAATCGTTCGTGAGGTGACTGTAGCGACCAGCATGATGCGAGGTGCATTTGGTACTCACTATGGGTGCTTAAATACCATAAAGCCATGTCCTGCTTACGTGTCCCGAAGCAACTGGGAGCGCAGCAATACGTTGCCAAGTATGGTCTTGGGAGTGGTGTTATTTGCATCGCTCTGTCAGTTGTGTTGCTTTTCTGTAGGTGTTTTAGATCCTGAGTGAGCCTATGCAATGCTGGAAACGACAGGCATGTTTGTTATGGTTTCGGTGTCAGTCATTTCCGTACATTTCAGCTGTCAGAGTATAGTCTCGTACTTCC